GGCGAGGTAACGGCGCAGGTTGGGCGCAGGCCGCCTCAAAGCACTCGGCCCTAAGTGGAGCCCCGGCGCGGGGCGCTGCTCCGGGCAGCCGGGGGTTGCTCAGCGCCCCGTGCTGTGCTTCCTCCGGGGGGGCTGAGCCCTCCTAGGGTGGCCTTGCCGCCTCTCCGTGTGGAAACCGCCCCGCAGCCCCCGCCTGCCTCCCGCCGGGGCTGGCAGCCTCCAGCCTTGCCCGTTCCTGAGGCTGCTCTTGCTCCTCTGGCAGGGGGGCAAAGCAGCTTTAGGAGAAAAAGTTGATTTCAGGCTGGTAAACTGCTGCTTCCCACACAAGGGCCGATCCCGAAACTGCGGCGGTGAGCCCCACCCCTCCACCACCTTCACACCAACCCTGGCCCCTGGTCCGCTCAGCACCAGGAGCTTTGCTGCGGGGCCGCAAACCTCCTGCTGCTGCAGGGGTCATGGCTGAATTCCAGGGCCTCGGTGGGGGATGCAGCCTGCCGTGCAGAGAAGCCTCAGGATGGCTTAAGGAGAGAGCTGGGAAGCCTGTCACACAGGAGCCTGGTCCTTTGCAGAGAAGATCTGGTTCAGCCAGGCATCGGGGAGTTCATTAGATCACGTAAAGTGATGGGGAAGTACAGTCCCTTCTGGCCCACGGTGTGCAGCCGGCCAGACCAAGTCATTTTGGAGCCTGAGGGGCCTGCTGAAATCTAGTTAGAGGGCTTTAGAGATTAGATTTGTGGGAGCAAAGAGCAACGAAATTAAATTTACATGGGCAGAAACATTTCTGAGCTGCTTGAAAATCAGACTTACCGTAGGTACTTCAGGCATGGCGACTGTGGTGGACCATGACATTATGGTTCATAATGGCAAGGTTTGGTTCAAAACCAAATCCAGACAAAAGAAACAGGGGTGTTTGTGACCTCTAGACACGAGACCCTGCTTCCCTCAGAGTGAATGACCAGGAGACTGGCTCCTGTTGTGCCTTCAGCAGAGCGGAGTTTGGCTGCTGACGCAGAGCGAGGCATGGGACGGCTGCTGCGGTGCTGCCCAGTGCTCCTCTGGTGCCTCAGCCTTGGCAGGTGATGGGTAGTTTTGCTGCAGGCAGATACGATCCACTGGCACACTTGTGCTGGACGGTTCCTGGCCTGCGAGAGCCGCAGGTGGCTGTGCTGCCTGTCCACAGCCACAGGTGGCTGGGTGGCCGTGGGGGCCGCTGGGGTGAGCTCTGGCAGCCTGTGTGACAGGGCCGCTTTGCTGGCCTGGCCAGGAGTTTGGCTGCTGACGCAGAGCGAGGCATGGGACGGCTGCTGCGGTGCTGCCCAGTGCTCCTCTGGTGCCTCAGCCTTGGCAGGTGATGGGTAGTTTTGCTGCAGGCAGATACGATCCACTGGCACACTTGTGCTGGACGGTTCCTGGCCTGCGAGAGCCGCAGGTGGCTGTGCTGCCTGTCCACAGCCACAGGTGGCTGGGTGGCCGTGGTGGCCGCTGGGGTGAGCTCTGGCAGCCTGTGTGACAGGACGGAGCCGCTTTGCTGGCCAGGTCCAGCAGCACTATGTGCTCTGCTCCAGCCCAGCCTTTTTGGGAGCCTCCTGGTCTGGTGTGGGAGTGCGGGGCTGAGATTTCCCTGGACGTGCTGGGGGGGGGGCTGCTGACAGCCATCTTCAGCTGCTGCCATAGGATGACCATGCTCTGTGTTCCCTTCAAACTCTTCTAGGAGGGTTTGGCCCAGGGAAGGTGAAGGATCCTTCCCCCGTCGTCCCCCTTGCCTGCTGGCCTCTGGCAGAGGAACAACAGACCAGCTTTGAGGTATCACCAAGCCCTGAAGCTCCCCTGTGGTGAGCTCTGGGTGGAGGTGGCCCACCCCTTGCCCCGTCCCCAAGACGGGGGTGCTGGGAGGTTGATGTGCCGGAGACAAGTTCCCTGCTGGGCTGTTTGCTGCGGTGCCTGGAGGGTAGGGAAGAACCTTACGTGAAGGGTGCTGGAGCCTCCTTTCAAAGCAAACAACTCAAGGAAATGCAAGCTGCCGGTCCTCGTCCTCTGGGCGCTGTGGGGCACAACTCTGCCTTTCCTTGAGTGCTCATGGGGGTGGGATGGCTTGTCCTCCTGTGCCCTCACTTAGTTGTCCCCGTCCGTTTCGTTGCTGCAAGCCGTGGCTGACAAGAAGGTGTCTGCTGCTGGTTTCTTCCACCCCTGCTTACCCTTGAGTCACTTCCTTCCTGAGTTTGTACAATCGTGCAGCCCAGCTGCTGGTGCGGGGCAAATGTAGCGCAGCAACCCGCAGCATGCCAGGGGCTCGGACCTGGGGGCTGGCCCTGAAGAAGGCCGGCTGTGATGGCCCCGTCCCACCTGCCTGTCCAACCAAGGCCTCCTGTGGCACGGGGAGCTGGATGCCCGGGGACTGTGTCTAGGATTAGGGGCTGAATTGCATCTGCAGTGGAGGAAAGTGTTATGAAAGTGTTTCTCAAGAACTGATAAACGATGTTCAGCCCCCCCTGATTTCAGAAAGCCATGACTTGGCAGGGTGGTTTAATGTATTTCCAAAGGGAGGTGGGAGATTGTGTGTGTGTTGGCACTGGGCAGGGGGAAAGGCAATCCCTGGAGAGGTTGGCTGATCCCAGCAACCAGGCAGACAAGTATTTCAGTACTTAGTGCTTGCTGTGATGTAAATTTTTTGGTCTATCTAGAAGCTTTCCCACCCCGTCCTACAGCACTGGGCATTTACTCCAGCAACTGAAGTTGGAATAATATCTAGTTCTTGGATCTCGCTTTTCAGAGGCTGGCTTATCTCTGGAGAAAGGTGGGAGTGTCCCCACTTCACAGGTGGGAAACTGAAGTGATGAGCCCCGGGCGATGCAGTGAGTTGTCTGTGGAGCCGGGATTAGAGCAGGAATTCCTGTCTCCCAGCTTTGTGTCCTCTCTCTGAGAGCCCCTCCCTGGAGTAAGCAATCAGTCTGGAATGAGTAGGTGGCATGAACATCCTTACTACAGCAGAAGAGCTTCACACCAAGCAAGGCTTGGCCTCGAGAGGTGATTAGTTATGCAGAGGTCCTGAGGACAGGCCTGGGAGCCAAGAACTCTTGTGCAGGCGTAGAGTAACCTGTGGCTTTAGGCACTCCTGCCCCAGCCCCGATTCTTCACTCTGACTACGAATCACTGAGATATCCAGGTGAAAGGTCTTCGTGTTCTTGGTTGTGACTTTGTTCAGCAGCCAGAGTGGTTGTTCCGTCCGCTTCCTCTGGCAGTCAGAGGCTCCAGTGCTTTTGTTCCGCCAGCCAGGAGACGATGGTACCACTTCAGTCTTGTTTTCCTTGCCTGGGCTTGCTTGTGTAAATGGACAGAGGGTGTCTCCTCTCTAAGCTCCTGGTAAGGCTAGGCTGCAGTTGGATGTCCTTGCTTCATAACTCATGGTACCAATTTTGTGTGCCCTGCAGGTGGTGGCGGAAACCGGAAAGGCAAGAGTAAGAAATGGCGCCAGATGCTGCAGTTCCCCCACATCAGCCTCTGCGAGGATCTTCGACAAACCCTCGGTGAGATGCGGTGGCTGGCAGGGGCTGAACAGCGTCTGGGCTCTGTTCCGGAGCGGGGCCGGTGGGTGAGCGTGTGTGGGTGTTGTGCACCCAAAGCTGGGTGCACGTGAAGGCAGTTGAGTCCCGCGAGGGTCAGGGACATATAACGGGGCACATGTTGGCCAAAACCGGGCCAGGATCACTCAGAGCTCAGGGTGTAGGGAAGAAACAACGGGTGGGTAAGTCACAGCTGCATGGCGCTCACTGGGTAGTGCCTGTTGCTGTACCCACATGCCTTCCAGACTGTGATGAGCTTCACTAGAGATATGCACCCTTCTCTGTGCAAACAGACCTGCTCGGTGTTGCAGAGCTTTGGAGCATCGCTCTGGGGTGCCTTTGCATAACTAACAAAGGTCCAGCTAATGTCTTCTGGACTCCCTGGCTGGGATTCAGCCCTGCTCTGCAGACCTTGGCTTCTAACACTAATGCAGCAGCTTTACTTGGGCAAAACTGGGTTCTTGCTGTGCGGTATGGATGAGAATTGTACAGTTGGGCAGGGCTTGGCCTGTCATTTTAATACTGCACTTTGTACTCTTCATGGTTTTAATGTTGTTTGTGCAGCAGGCTTGGTCCTGAGATCATGTGAAATTGTTTTGGGGCATGGAGGGTGGGAATGCTCTGCTTCCTGGGAAGGGAAGAGTTTTTTAAAGTTGTCACTCCGGATTCAGCTGCCAGCTGGAGAGTGGCACAGCTCTGGCCTTGTTTCAGAGCAGGTGTCACTGGGCTGAGTGGGTTTGGGAGGTTTCTGCAGCTCCAGTCCCCAGTTCCACCCTGCCCAGGTTTTCCAGGTCCTGGCAGCCCCAAGGAGACGAGTGGCTCCCTTTGAGGGCACATGGGACTGTAGCACTTGGAATAACTCAACCTCCATCATCCACACTGTAACCTCCAAGCTCACAACAGCGTGGTTCTGCTGCTGTGCACGCCGTGCACCACCTCCCGGGGCCGGCTTCACAGCCAAGTGTAATCAGATGGAGACTCTCACCTTGGTTTTTCTGCAGACTGCCTCTCTGGAGCAGGTCCTGAGCACTGAACTCAGCTCTAGCCTGGGCTCTCCTTGCAGCTCCCATCTTGGCCATCTCAACCCCTATCTGCTTCTCTGATTTGTGTGCCCTCAGCAGAGCTTTCCCTCAGCTGATGCCCATCCTCTGCCCACAGCCACCCTTCCTGTGGGTGTCATGGCATGTTTTCCAGCACTGAACTTCACCTTTGTTGTGCTGCCCGTTTGCCGGTGGTGAGTGCTGGTGGTCTGTCTCTGCTGTCCCACTGTCTGGGACAGTGACCTTGTGATGCTTTGGGAGGCAAGTCCCTCCCAGCAGCTGGCTGTCACCGCCCGTGTCCCCACTTCCCCTTGGGGAGGCATGCGAGAAGTGCTTCTGGCCCAGGTGGCAGCCGCCTCACTTGGTTTCCCCATGGGAAAGATGGCCCCGATCCTTGTGCTTGGGTCACTCTTTGGCTGGAGTGGTTTTGTTTTCCCCTCGCAGCCTGCTAGAAAGGCATTTCTCTCCTATTCTAGAGGCTTGGCCGGACCATGGGCATGGTGGGCTGGTTGCCCACTGCAGAATTAAGCTTTGTGTGCCCTGACCGCAGGCAGCAACCTTGTGTGAGCCTGGGCAGCAGCGAGGGCAGCCGAAAGCTTCCGATCTCACTGGCAGCAAGCTCTTGTCCTTCCCAGCTGAAGAGAACTCCTTCCCCTGCAGACACAAGGAAACCGGCCGGTGCGGCGGAGCTGGCGAGGCAGCCTCCTCCCCCACCGCAGCCCGGTCTCCTCATTCTGATGCACCCTCAGGAAGCCGCAGCTTCCTCGGGAGAAACTACTGCGTGGGGAGGGGAAGGCCGGCAGTACCCAGCCCCAGGGAGTGCTGGAAGATCCCCTGCGAGGCGGTGGACAGCTGCACATCTGCAGCCCACAGCCCTTCATGGCAGTGACTGTAACAGAAATCTGTTCTGGCCCGCAATCAGACAACATCTTATGAGTGGAAGGGGAGAAAAAAAAGCAGAGAACTGGAAGTGCTCTGGATAGTCAAAGGGGTTTGTGCCTGGGCTGCCAGGCTTCAGAGAGGGGTAGGAGGAATCAGCAGGGAAGCCGAGCTCCAGAGAGCAGTAGGAGTTGACGTACAAGCAAGTGGCTGTCCCATGGAGTGGGGGCGTCTAATTGCTGTGTGCAGCATTAACAGGACATCTGTGGAAATGCTGCCCTCCATTTTGATGCTGCTGCTTCCAGCAGGGCCTTTGGGAATACGAGTGGTTTGTAAGAGTCATCAGAGCAACTCTTGGCCTGGATGATCTGCCTCAAAATAAGCTCGGTGTGTTCCTCATGTTCCAAGGAAAGTTGTGTGTCTGGAGTAGTCGGTCGATCTCCTGGGGAGAGGTTTGAGAAGAGAGCCTCCAGGCAAGTAGGAGACACGAAGATCCCTTGCTAGAAACAGGAGGGGCAGGCTGTACAGAACAGCAAGTCAAACCTCATTCAGGGAAGAGGATCTTCTGTAGGGGAACTTGTCCCCATTGGGTGCATTTCACTCTCCTGGGAGTCTCAGGCTGGTGGGACCTGTGAGCAGCCAGCTGACAAGTCACAAGCCTCCCCACTGCCGCCTGTGCCTGGGACGGTGGGCTGTGACTGCTCCTTGGGGGTTGGCAGTGAGTAGTCTTCTCCACATTTGCAGAGCGGGACTACCACAGCCTATGTGAGAAGCAGCCCATTGGGCACATGCTCTTTCGGCAGTTCTGCGAGACACGACCTGAGCTGTCACGCTGCGTCAAGTTCCTGGATGCCGTGGTAAGAGCAAAGCCCGTTGGGCTTCGATGGGGGAGGCAGGGATGTTCTTGGCACCCTGGGTATGGACCAGTTGGCCCTGGGTGCTCCGGCAGTTTCCAGGTACTTCTGGACACATAGGGTTTTCCTGGAGAAAAAAACTGAGTTGCAGTTTCTCCAAGGCTGGGCCTTTGCTTAGGGAGCTGTTTGCTGGTGATCTGGTTTTCCAGGAAAGCATGGGAAACCTTGGGCAGAGGGTGTTGCTGCTCTGCTGCTGTTGCCCGGTAGCAAGGCTCGGTTCCTGGCTAGACCTGCTCCTCATGCTGTTTGCTCTGTGCAGGCAGGGTACGAAGTGGCTCCAGATGAGAAGCGGAAGGAATGTGGGCAGCACCTGATTGAAAAGTACTTGAAGCCAAACGTGAGTAAGGAGGTTGTGTTTCCTGCCTGCAACGGTAGAGCAGTTGGAAAGCTGACAGCTGTCATTACCCATGTCCTGCCACAGTGAATGTGCTGGGCAGGATGGTGAGGGCAGAGTACAGAGCCACCCTGCTACCTCACAAGCGACCGTTGCTGCTTTTCCCACTGGCTGTAAAGCAGATGGCCGCCTGTGTGCTGTTACTGTGGGCTTCTCCTTCCTGGGAGGATCCTTGTGCTCTGCTCCCTATGTCTGACTCCATCCCTTTGTCCCCAGAGTGAGGACCATGTGCCTGAAGTCCCCTCGCAGCTGGTGGATGGCTGTTGTGAGAGGCTGGAGCAGGAACCTTCCAAGGAGCTCTTCAAGGAATCCACTAAGTAAGTTGGAGGGCTGGGGCCTGCCTGCAGGTCGCACCATGGCACGGGGTAGATGCTGCAGCTAACTCACCTTGTCCCTCATGGTCCCTTCCTCCAGGAGAGCGAGGGCTGGTGCTAAGGCTGGGGCCTGGGGAGTTTTGGGCTAGCAGTTTGCAGCACAGCTACAGGAAAGCAAGTGCAGGGAGCTCCTGTGGGCTCTGGGAGCCACAAGCTGCTGCAGAAGCCTCTGTCACTCTTCTGAGTCTGCCATGGGTCTGAGTTGCCATTTGGGAAGACCCCGTTTCAGCGAGCCTCACCATCTGGCTATGCTGTTCCTAGTCTTGTGCCAGGATCTCGTAGGCACCCGTAGAGCAGAGCTGACAGCTGCAGTGCTGGTGCCAGCTGTCCTCTCCCGCTGGCCGCAGATGTGGCCGTTGTGGTTAGTTACACTGGCTGTTGCTGCAGGGATCTAAGGTCACTTCTGTTCCCATCACAGAAGCAGTGGCTGAGGTCCTGGCTCCGGGTGCGAAGCGGAAGCTGTTAGGCAAACCGGGCTTACAGCCTCCACCCCTCCCTGAACAGCAGCTGGAGCACATTGCCTAATCGAGTGCAGGGCTGTGGCAATGGGTTTGCTGCAGTCTTCTGGGGAGCGTTAGCTCTGTGTGTGGTAACTAGTGTCACTGTCTGAATGCAGAGCCTCCAGGCTGGGCCCTGCCTGCTCTTGGCAAGCTCTGAAAGGGGAAGAGCCCATCCGCTTCTCCTTGATGCATGTCTCCAGTCTAGACACTATGTCTAAGGCTCTTTACTCCGCTGGGCAGCCCTGGCACTGGTCTCCGAGGCAGTTAGCTCTCTCAAGCAGGATCCCCTGTGGCCTTTTGTGCTGGATATTCATCTGAAACTGAACAACTCGGCGCCTGGTGCTGAACATTGCTAGCAGCTTTCGGCAGCTGATTACAGCCTTGAGTGTGCATTTGCCCTGTGAGCAGAGAGGCAATTGCAAAGAGTCCCATCGTCCCTCTTTGTCCCGCAGCCCGGGCTGGTGCTGAGAGTCCACAATTAGTGCCAGCCCCATCCCAGGGTGCTGTGTTCATCACAGCGGTACCTCCAACGTTCCTTTTGCATCAGACTTAGCGCGGAGGGTGGGCTTTTTGGGCCAGGGCTGCACAGGGTATGTGGGTGATTCAGCATCAGGCTGGGTGAGGGGATGGCAAAGTAAACGGGTGCTCAGGGCTGCTCACCTCCTCTTTCCTTGGACTGCCAGCCTTTTCCATGGCTGTGAGCAGCTTTCAGGAACCTTGCTGGCTCTGCTCTCTCCTAGGCTTATCCACGACTACCTGAGTGTGGCTCCCTTTGCCGACTACCTCGACAGCTTGTACTTCAACCGCTTCCTGCAGTGGAAATGGCTGGAACGGTAACACTCCCCGGCATCACTGGGAGACCTGTGCCCCGCTCGCATGGGCTGCCTGAGAGGTCCCTCGGGCTCCTTCCCGTGCTGGGCCCTGGCAGGAGCCAAGGGCCTAGCCTTGCTCTCCTTCAGGGCCCTTTATTGGCACCATCAGCAGCCCCAGCCTTGCTTGCCTTGCAGGGAAGCAAGGTCTGCTTGAGCAGGGGTTTTGGGGTGGGCCACAGTCTGTCAGGCCAGGGCATGGAGGTGGTTTGGGCTTCAGGCCCTGCTCTGTCCCTGCTCCCATCTCACTCCAGTTTCCTTTCCCTCACAGGCAGCCAGTGACCAAAAACACTTTCCGCCAGTACCGTGTGCTGGGCAAGGGCGGTTTTGGGGAGGTGAGTGACCAGCATTTCCTCTGCATTCGGGGTACCAGGCAGCCACCGTTGCCTGCTCTACCAGTAGGGCCTGGGTTGGCCGTCAGGGTGCCACAAGCTGCTCCAGCACCTAGAGGCAGGTGCTGCTGGCTCGGGGGGCTGTGGGGGCCCTGTGCTGGGCACTGCTGTGCTCTGGGCATTGCATGATCTGTCAGTTCCCCCCTGAGGGGCAGGAGCTCCCCTCTTGCCAAGCACTGGAGGTGTGGAAGGTGTTGCACAGGGTAGGTAGCACGTGCCCTGTGGTGCGTACTGCTGCCTGGGCAGAGAGTCAGGTTTGTTCCCAGTGTCTTGGCAGGGGAAACTGCACTCCTGAAAACTGTCACTGTCAGACTTCCTTCTGTTTCTGGAGTGGCCTTCTGTCTTCCCAGGCACCAGCCGTGGTGCTGCTACAGGTGACAGGGGCATCGCAGCCCTCTGCTGCTTGTCTGTGACATCTGGAGATGTCGCTGTTCCCTGTGTCCTTGCTTTGACAATGGGCTTCTCGCTAACCTCAGAGTGAGGCGGGGACAGGGACATCTTTGCCTTCCCGTGCCTCTTCCTGAGAGCAGAACCTAGACCCCCACCCTGGAGATGGCAGCGGGAGGGTGCTGAGCCTTGTCCCCCCTCCAGGTTTGTGCCTGCCAAGTGCGTGCCACGGGGAAGATGTACGCCTGCAAGAAGCTGGAGAAGAAACGGATCAAAAAGCGGAAAGGAGAGGCCATGGCCCTGAATGAGAAACAGATCCTGGAAAAAGTGAACAGTAGGTTTGTAGTAAGTACATAGGAATTGCTCTCACTTCGCTGCGGTGGTTGATTCTTCCTCCAACCAGCCGGCCCGGCACCTCTGTGCTCCTCACCCCGCGTGGAGAGGCAGGAGCAGGCCCTGCCCATGGGGTAGGGTTCTGGCAGCTGCAGATCTCTCACAAGGCTGGGGTCTGGCAGGACCTCCTAGTGCCTCCACAAGATGCTGTAAATGCCCCCAAAGTGAGGCCCAAACACCCGTGTGGTCTCACAGGCACCTTCTTAACCTCTGGGGCACAAGAAAGCAGCGAGAACTGTCTCCAGACAGCCAAGTGGGCAGAAGCCCAGCCCTGAGCTGTGTGGTGGGGAGCTCTCTCCCTGGCTGCACTGAGGTGTGGACAGCCTGAAACCTCTCTTTACAGAGGATTCATCAGACGCTTCCCCGGGGTTGCTGTTGGGTTCTGTTTGCCCCCGGAGGGGAGCAGTTCTGGTTCGGGAAAATAGTGTCCTCCCTGTCTGAGGAAAGCTGGGGGTATGCTGGGGCTGCTGGGCACTTCCACGTCCTCCCTGGGTTTGCACAGTTCCCCCTCTGCCTCCTCTACTGGCAAAGGCCCAGTCCTGCTGCCCATGAGTGGCTGCTTGGGTGACAAAGTGTCCATCAGAGCGTGGGCACCTCCCTCTTCCAGCTGTGTCTTCTAACAGCCTTTCTGCCCTGAATTGCAGGTGAGCTTAGCCTATGCATATGAAACTAAAGATGCTCTCTGCCTAGTGCTGACCCTCATGAATGGAGGGGACCTCAAGTTCCATATCTACCACATGGGAGAGGCTGGCTTCGAGGAGCCCCGCGCAGCTTTCTATGCTGCTGAGATCTGCTGTGGCCTCGAGGACTTGCACCAGGAGAGGATAGTGTACAGGTGCGCGCTGCCTGGCCCCTGCTGGGAGATCTTGTATGGGCTGCAGAAGCAAGAGGGTTCCTGCTGCTCTTACTAGCCCAGCTGGGTCTGCCTGCTCAAGAAAATAAGCTCAGGCTTGAAAGCAGCACAGAGCTGGGTGAGAGGGGATCAGGAACAGAAAGCTGATCTCGTGGGAGAGACGGGAGAGCTTAGCTCGGCTTCCTCGTGCTGGTAAATGATCACCAAGAACAGGATGTGATCATGCTATGATCGCCTCGGGGCAGGCACTTGGGTGCTTAACTCCCCGGGCAATATTGACACTAGAACAAAGGAGGGTAGGCTGCCCTGATACACTCAAGATTGAGAGCTGGGCAGGAGGGAGAACAAGCTGATTGTATGACTGTACTCACCAGGTTGTGTGATGCAGCGTTAGGGATAGCATGGCTAAACATGGAGCCGGAAAGTCCCTTCTAGTCATACCCTATGCCTTGCCCTGGGGCAGGACAAGCAGAAGCAGCCTCTGCTCCTTCTCTCTTGCACGGCCTGTCCCATAGTGAGTTCTGCACCTGCAAAGAGGGAATCAGCCACAGGCTTACTGCTTCCCTGCGGAGGGTTGAAGGTTGTCATGTCCTGCCTCTGCCCGGGAGAGGAGAGCTTGCAGGGCTAACTCCAGAGCAGGGGTGAGGGGAAGATTATCTGTGTGCCTGAGGCAGGGGCATTGCATCCCTCTGCTGCTTATCTGACTTCTTGAGATGTCGCTGTTACTTGCGTCCTTTGCTTTGACAACAGGCTTCTTGCTAATCAAGTCCCTTCCTTCCTAGGGACCTGAAGCCAGAGAACATATTGTTGGATGACCATGGTGAGTGCAGGGTCAAGAGGAGCCCTGGGCCTGAGTCCTTCCCTCTTCCTCTGCTTGAACCAGGGTTGCTCTGTGTTCTTGTCTGCTTCAAACATTGCCCCTTGACCTTGTCCTGTTAACTTGCCGCCTCCTCCATGCAGGTCACATCCGTATCTCAGACCTGGGGCTAGCTGTGCACGTGCCGGAGGGCCAAACAATCAAGGGCCGGGTGGGAACAGTTGGCTACATGGGTAAGTGGCCCCGGTTTAATCAAAAAGTGGACTCTGACTGCACACGCACTCTCCCTGCGCTCACACGTCCCTCACCCCTGCTCCTGTGTAGCTCCGGAGGTGGTGAAGAATGAGCGCTACACGTTCAGCCCAGACTGGTGGGCTCTGGGCTGCCTGGTGTACGAGATGATCGAGGGACAGTCCCCCTTCCAGCAGCGTAAGAAGAAGATCAAGCGGGAGGAGGTGGAGCGGTTGGTGAAAGAAGTGCAGGAGGAGTACTCAGAGAAGTTCTCGCCTTGTGCCCGCTCCCTCTGCACTATGGTACGAGCGTGCGTCCCTGTCCCTTTGCTCCCACAGCCTTTTTGCATACAGCAGGAGAACATCGAGGCTGCTCCCTGTAGAGGTGCTGGTGGCAGCCAGGTTCCCTTGTCTCTGATAAGGCAGCGCAGGGGGGTCCAGAGTGTCTTATTTCCTCGCTCTCCCAGCTGTCTAGCGGGCCCGTGCCGTCCCTAGAGACGTACTGCAGGAGCCTGGCCAACCTCAGGGCTGCTCCTGCCCGAAGCACGCTCTGCCTGGGGCACTGATTTCCTTTGTGTTGCAGCTCCTGTGCAAAGACCCTCTGGAGCGCCTGGGGTGCCGAGGAGCTGGGGCCAAGGAAGTGAAGGAGCATCCTCTCTTCAAGCACCTCAACTTCAGGAGGCTGGAAGCAGGCATGCTGGACCCCCCCTTCAAGCCAGATGTAAGTGCCTGTCCGTGTTCTGACCTCTTCAGTCACTGGCGCTGTCAAGAGAAGCAGGAGCCCTGGGGTGGCTCACCTGAGGAAATGGCGCCCATCCCCTTCCCTCTTGTTTCTGGAGCTTGGCAGAACAGGGGTCAAGCAAGCTCTGGGCTGCAGGGAGAGGGGGCCTAGGCTTGGCCACGAGCCACGGTTGTTTGAGGTGGTGGTATCTTCATGCAGCCTGGCATTAGAGCAGTCTTTGTGCTGTTTAGCCCCAGGCCATCTACTGCAAGGATGTTCTGGACATCGAGCAGTTCTCCACAGTGAAAGGGGTGGAGCTGGAGCCCACGGACAATGACTTCTATGAGAAGTTTGCTACCGGAAGCGTGCCCATTCCTTGGCAGAATGAGGTAGGTTTGCAGGACAGGTCTTTGCTCCTGCTTGTGCCCACCATGGCAGAGTGTAGTGTCCTGCAGAGTTCATGCTGTGCCGGCTGCTCTTGCACTCTGCTGGGCCCTCGGTGACAGGCTTTGTGTGGTAGTCACTGCAGCCATCTGTGCCCTCTTCCAGATGATCGAGACAGAGTGTTTTAAGGAGCTGAATGTCTTTAGCACAGACGGCACGGTGCCCCCAGACCTGGACTGGAAAGGGCAGCCTTCTCCACAGCCCAAAAAAGGGTTACTCCAGCGCTTATTCAGCAGACAGGTAAGAGTGTTTGCCCAGCGTTTCCTCCACAGCAAGTCCTCTAGCAGCAATGAGCCTGCTCCTGTCTGTGCCAGGCAGATCTGGCAGGGAGGTGGGCATGAGAGGGCAGCAGGCAGTCTCCCCCTGTGCTGGGTGGTCAGACCCCAGGGCTGTCAGGGGGACCCACGCAAGGCTGCAGGGAGCCAGCCCTCGCCTGGCTGCCACTCCCCATGCTGGGGGAGTCGAGGGGGCTGGGATGGAGTGTCCTGGCTAAATGTGCTGCAGTCACACAGGCAGAGGGATGTTGTTGAAGGCACTAAAATAGCAAGTCTGCTCCCTTCCTACATGAATAATACCATCCCTGAAGAAGACCTTGCTCTTGGAATGGGCTCCTGGGCTCCCCAGAGCATTTCTGCCAGACCTTGAGCAGGCAGAGAGAGCAGAGCTTTCGAGGGATGAGGAGAACGGAAATGTCTTGCAGCTGTTATGGGCTTGCTTGCCTGCCTGTCTCCTCTGCCCAGAACAGTCTTTGCCTTCTTTCCAGGACTGGCAAAGTCTGGGCTGCTGCCTCTCGACAGCTGCTTGCAGCTGTGGGACTCAAGCGCGGTTGGCTCTGGACCCACTCTCAGCCACCTGGTGCTGACTCCTGCTTCCCCGACGAGCTCTGAGTTGTGCTTCACTGTTCAGTGGGCTGCCCCAGCCAGAGCCGGCTCTGGGCTGAGATACCCAGCCCTTCCTGAGGCAGGCAGGACCTGCTGGAGGATGGGCAGGTGCCTGTGGCAGGGGTTGAGCTGTGATTTGCCACGTGTTTTCTCTTTCCAGAGGTGAGCAGTCTCTCCTGGCTGCTCTGCTCAGGGAAATACCTGGTGGCCCGCGGACGTGGCAAGATCTGGGAAAGAGGAGTGTTGTCCTTCAGTGCCTAACCCCTTCCCCCAGCAGAGCACAAGCTGCTTGTTGTTCTAACTGCCCCCTGAGCCACTAATCCCGCTTCCCTGCTCTCGCTGCCTTCATGGGGGAGGCCTTGCCCTCAGCTTCAGCCAGAGCTGCCCCTTGCACCGCCGCTGCTGGGAGCTCCGCTCCCAGGGGGCTGTGGGAAGTTCCCTTCACTCCTCTCTTCGGATGTCCAGGACACACAGAAGGGTTGAGAAACCATGAAGTGTTTGGCATTGCCCCATGCTCAGAATCCTTCCCATTCCAGCAAAAAGGTTCAGCTGCTTCTGCGGCCGGCTGAGCCCTGAGCGGGGCAGATCATCTCTGCTGGCACTGAGCTGTCTGCCTGGGTGGCTGTATAGTCCACAGAGCCCATCTTCTTCCCAGCTTCTGAGCTAGTCAGCTGCGTGCTCACCAGTCTGTCTGCCAGGAGCTGAACCCCCAGATGCAGCTTGATTGTTTCTCTGCAGACTGGGGGTCCCCTCCAGCCCCTTGCCTCCATGTAGCTCTCCCACACGCAGGCCGGGGGGGGGCCTGGCCCTTCCCTGCCAGAGGGCAGCTGTATAGGCTGGGTTGTGTGACCATGCTCACCCTCTGCTTGCTGTGCTCCTCTCTCTCCCTCCTCCTTCTCCTTGCCCTTCTGACTTCAGGACTGTTGTGGAAACTGCAGTGACAGCGAGGAAGAGCCCACCCGGCTGTAGAGCACAACTTGTTCTCCAGCCCCGGGACCCCCTTACCTCTCCAGGTGCCCAGCAGAACAACAGCCCAGCCTGAAGGACAAAGGTAGAGGCGGCCCCGCAAGGTGGATTTGTTTACAGCTTTACACGTCTGTATTTGAAGACTGTGAGGATGGCTCCAGGGCTGGAAGCAGCACACGGCTCGGGCCAAGGCGCCTTTGGCCATGGGCAAGCCCTCATCCCCAAGACAGACCTGGATGCTTCTGAATCTGCCGCTTGGGATTGTGCTGTTGCTGCCCGCCGGCTGTTGCTCCCCTCCTGGGCCCAGGGTGGGAGGGAGGGATTGCGCCAGCGTGGGCCGAGGCCAGGCTGGAGCAGCTCTGCTGACACATTCCACAGTGCCGAAGCGGCACTGCAGGTTTGGTGTATATTTATATATGTCGGTCTGTACATATCACATGTCGGTTTTTAATCTATAGGTGGGGGCCTGCACTGCCCCCACCCTGTCACAGGCACAAGTGTCCTCCTATGGGGGGAGTGACGGTCCCAGCTTTGTTCCAGGGAGTCCTGGGCAGAGGCCTTCTGTGCCTTCAGGTGTTTAAAGCCTCTTTCCTGGACCTTTCTGGCCGTGCTGAGGCATCCCTGGCTCCAGCGGAGTCCATTGCTCAGCCCTGAGGCACAGGAAGCCGCTGTGCCAAAGCGTCTACCATTGCATCCTGGCAGCACAGCGCCGCTGCCTCATCCCCGCTTCCCTGTCTGCCGGAGCCTGCTTCCTCCTGCCTCGTCTCGCACATGCTGCCAGCTCCAGGGAGCTGATCCCGGCCCCCTCTCCAGACCGCCAGCAGGCTGCCTGTGGCACAGCGGGACACAGCCGCTCCCACAACACCTGCTCAGGAGGTACCCGCTGCGGGTCCAAAGGGTCGGTCTGATCCCCGGCATGGTGCAGGATGGCCCCAGTGCGGTCCCACCAGCTCCGGACCAGCTGTCTCTGCGTGCTGGGGGTGCTGCAGTCCGCAGGCCTGGCTAGGTATCGGAGGAGCAGACACGTAAGGAACTCTGCTCTCGGGGAGCAAAGCCGTGGTAAGGGGAATGTCCTTTCCTGGGGTCATGCTGTGAGCTGTGATCCAAGAGTGAGCGGGGCCGGGACCAGCCCACCCGCTGTAGTGGCTTAGTGTGCGTCCCCAGGGGTCCTGAGGAGCCAGCACAGCTCCTGTGCCTGAGGGCAGGGCAGGACTGGAGGGGCCAGAGCCCTGCGTGTCCCTGGGGAGAAGTGTGGGGCTCAGCCCACCTCTCTGTTCTGCTTGTCCTGTCCCCTCTTGTGCACACTTGTCCTAGCTGTGTCCCAAGCAATAACTCGACTCTTCTGTGTGTGTATGTACACACACGCGTGCGTGCTGCTGCCTCATGCTCATTCTGAGCCAGGCCCCCCGGGGGGGCTGAGCACCTACTTGGACCTGTGGTATCATTTGCTTGCCTTGCACTAAAGTTGGAGAGTATTTAAATTTTTAACCTTTTGTTAAGTGTAAGATTCGCCGTGCCTTGTATTGCTGTCGTGTCAAGGGGGACCCGCTCCAGGCCCTACAGCGTTGGTGGCTGTAAGGAGGAGAGGTGCAGGGACCCCAGTTCCTGGGCTGCCATGGGCTCTGCTGGTGCTCCTCTCCTGCAGGGAAGGGCTGGGGCTGCCCTCCAGGGCAAGGGCTGATGCTGAGCCCCAGGGACAGCGGGTGGCCCTCGCTGGCTTCTGGTGGGTGGTTTGGGTCGGTGCAGGGGCGTGACAGGTACAAGGCCTTGTGCCATTGGGGTGCTCGTGTCTGCTGTGGTCCCCTTTGGGGCATATCCCCCTGCTCCCCTGTCTGCCCTCGGCACAGCCCCTCCTGGGCTGTCACGGGTGTGCTGTGGGGCTGGGGGCAGAGTCCTGCTCCCCTCTGGGCACTGTGCATCGCTGCTTCGGGGGGAAACCATGCAGGGGGGGCCTTGTGCCAGCATGGGGCACTGCCTCCTTAGCCCAAGGGACAGCCCCTCGAAGAGGGGACACGGTGTGAGCAGGGTTAGGGTCATGACTGCCACGGGGGAGCGTGCCAAGGGGGACAGCCTGGTCAGGGTGGGTTTGGGGTCCGGGGTCGGTGGCAGGGCCGGCGGCAGCGTCAGCAGCCTCGTGTGCAGCGCCGGGGGGCCGCACACAGCTGCACAGGGATGAGAATAGCAAGTGCGGCTGGGTAGCTAGGGAACAGTTGCTATGGGAGCGGGCCGAGGAGGAGTTCTCACACTCGGAGGGGGCATCTTGGGGTAAAATCCAGTAATTTTCTGCAGCCATGGAAGGCAGGCAGGCAGGGCGGGGGGATGGGGACTGCCTGGGGATGGTTGCTCCCACTGCACCGGTCAGGGATGCTCATGCCGCCCTGCCGGCACTGCCTGGGCTGCAGCACCCTGGCATGGAGGTGCTGGGGTCACCAATGTGTTAGTGGTGTCTGTCACACGGTCAGCGTGGCTCTGCGGGCAGGGCCGGGGCGTGGGCAGCCCGTGGCTGAGCCGTGAGCAGGGTGTGGACGGGGCTCTGCCTGTCCCCAGCTCCCCCCTGCCCAGCGGTGCCCCGGCGTTTGGGGGGTGCCTTGTCCCCATCCCTATCCTTGCTGGGGGGGAGCAGCGTGAGGGTGAAGGGGTGCTGGTGTACGGCCAGAGCCAGTGGCTCTGGGCCCCACGGACACAGCGGGCCCTGGGTGAGCTCTGGGTGGGCACACGGGCGCTGGGGGCTCCTGGGCGCTGCCCCGAGCCCTGGGTCTGTGGAGGCAGCGCCGGCACACGATTTTCAGGGGTGAAGGATGCTCTCAGCTGTTGCCTGGGCAAC